ATGGTTTTACACACACACACACACACACACACGCACACGCACACGCACACACACGCACACGCACACACACACACACACACACACACGATCCACCCTCTTCCTCCACCACCCACATAGTTCACTTCAAAATCATATTCCTCTTCTCGACAGGGTCTTCAAGCATCACCTAAAGAAACTCATAACTAAGGTCAACAGACGTAAAATATATATATATTCAGCTTCAACAATTTCGCCTTTTTTTGATACAAAATTTGTCTCTCCGCTTTCGTCACGTTATAGAAATGTGTGTGTGTGTGTGTGTGTGTGTGTGTGTGTGTGTGTGTGTGTGTGTGTGTGTGCGTGTGTGTGTGTGTGCGTGTGTGTGTGTGTGTGTGTGTGCGTGTGTGTGTGTGTGCGTGTGTGTGTGTGTGTGTGTGTAAGTGTGTGTGTGTCACAGTATAAACATCGCCTTTAAGAACATATCACATCGAGGAGGCAACAGATGGCTCTGGGTTAAGTCTCACAACATCAATAAGTATATGTTACTGTACAGTCACGGGAATGAATCTCCGAACTGACTGACTGACTGACTCTGACTGTCTGGTGAGGTGTGTGTTGTTTTATCTCATGTGGGTTCGAGACTGCTTCAGTTTGGGAGGGATCGAACCTTTGACTCCCGATGTACAAGTGTGGGGGATTACTGAAGAATAGAATTAGTGGGGGTTCACGTTTTGTCGTCCATATACAAACACCACCATCACCACTAGCACCATCATCACCACCATCACCATTAGCACCATCACCACCACCACTATCATCACCACCACCATCACCACTAGCACCATCATCACCACCATCACCATTAGCACCATCACCACCACCACTATCATCACCACCATCACCACTAGCACCATCATCACCACCATCACCATTAGCACCATCACCACCACCTATCATCACCACTACCAGCAACACCATCGTCACCACCATCACCACTAGCACCATCATCACCACCATCACCATTGCACCATCACCACCACCACTATCATCACCACTACCATAACCACTAGCACCATCATCACCACCATCACCATTAGCACCATCACCACCACCACTATCATCACCACCACCATCACCACTAGCACCATCATCACCACCATCACCATTAGCACCATCACCACTATCATCACCACTACCAGCAACACCACCATCACCACTAGCACCATCATCACCACCATCACCGCCACCGCCACCACTATCATCACCACCACCATCACCACTAGCACCATCATCACCACCATCACCATTAGCACCATCACCACACCACTCTCATCACCACCACCATCACCACTAGCACCATCATCCACCATCACCATTAGCACCATCACCACCACTATCACCACTACCATCACCACTAGCACCATCATCACCACCATCACCATTAACTTCATCACCACCACCACTATCATAACCACTACCATAACCAGCACCATCATCACCACCATCACCACCACCACTATCATAACCACTACCATAACCAGCACCATCATCACCACCATCACCATTAGCACCATCACCACCACCACTATCATAACCACTACCATAACCAGCACCATCATCACCACCATCACCACCACCACTATCATAACCACTACCATAACCAGCACCATCATCACCACCATCACCACCACATCTTTAACCACTACCACCAGCACCATCATCACCACCACCACTATCATCACCACCCATCACCATCATCACCACCATCACCATTAGCACCATCACCACCACCACTATCATCACCACCACCATCACCACTAGCACCATCATCACCACCATCACCGCCACCGCCACCACTATCATCACCACCACCATCACCACTAGCACCATCATCACCACCATCACCATTAGCACCATCACCACCACCACTATCATAACCACTACCATAACCAGCACCATCATCACCACCATCACCACCACCACTATCATAACCACTACCATAACCAGCACCATCATCACCACCATCACCACCACCACTCATCATAACCACTACCACCATCACCACCAGCAACACCACCATCATCACCACCATCACCACCACCACTAGCACCATCATCACCACCATCACCATTAGCACCATCACCACCACCACTATCATAACCACTACCATAACCAGCACCATCATCACCACCACCACTATCATCACCACTACCAGCAACACCACCATCGTCACCACCATCACCATTAGCACCATCACCACCACCACTATCATAACCACTACCATAACCAGCACCATCATCACCACCACCACTATCATCACCACTACCAGCAACACCACCATCGTCACCACCATCACCATTAGCACCATCACCACCACCACTATCATCACCACTACCAGCAACACCTTCAACACGTCACTTAAATCTCATCCGGGGTAAATCTTATTCGTTCCAACCTTCCTCAGCTGCCGGCACCATCCATCTTGGCAGCCACCAACGTCTACGCGCAACACACACACACACACACACACACACACACACACACACACCATAACCACAAACACACACACACACACACACACACACACACACACACACACACACACACACACACCATAACACACACACACACACACACACACACACACACACACACACACACACACCACACCACACACACACACACCACACACACACACACCACAACCACACACACACCAACAACAACACACACCACAACCACACACACACCACAACCACACACACCACACACACACACACACCACAACCACACCACAACACACACACACACACACACACACACACACCACAACCACACACACACACCACATCCGCTACAGGTCCCTTCGCAACCGAGTCATCCGCGAAATACGCACTGCAAAGAAGTCCCACTACCCAACCAAATTACAACACCTGAAGCAGACCAACATCAGTCAATGGTATGGCAAGCTTAAAGAACTCTGTGGACTAAACAATATGACACACCCTCCCTTCCTTAGCCATCTCACTAATGTTGACGCACCTGAGCAATCAAATAACCATTTCGCTACTATATGCCAGACGCTCCCCCGGCTTGACACAACCACCTCCCTGCTTACCTACCAGCCCCCTTCCCACTGACTTAGTAGAGGAATTTTAGCAAAACGCCTGACAAACTAAAATTAAAACGCTCTACCACCCCCATTGACTTACCAATGAAACTCTTCAAGGAGTTCTCCTGGAGCTTGCTAAACCCCTATGCTCCATCATCAATGCTTTTCTCAGTCAAGCCAGATGCCCAGCTGACTGGAAGACCTCTTATGTATCACCAGTGCCCAAGTCAACCAGCCCACAATCCTAAATCAGCTACGACCTATTGCAATCACCCCAATACCCAGCCTAATCTGTGAAAGTTTTGTGTTCGACTGGGCTTATGCTGATATTGCAGGAGTCGTAGACCCTCAGCAATTTGGCAACATGAAAACTTCCTCCACCACTCACTGTCTTGTCAGCTTTCTGATTACATATACCGCCATCTCGAGAAACGAAAACGTCTGTTGCTGTCGCCATTGATTTCACTAAAGCATTCGACCTAGTCGACCACAATATAATCATCAACAAAGCTATTGACTTCGGGGCTTCGAGGTCTTATACCATGGCTTACAGACTTCCTCAGTGACCGACGCCGCTGCATGCTTCGAGGCTGTCTCCACCTTTCAGTCATCACCTGTGGGGTCCCCACGGCACCAAGATGGGACCACTCTGCTTTCATGCTCTCAATAATGATGCCCTAAGAGAAACCCCTGCTCGCTGGAAATATGTCGACGACTCCACCATTGGGATCAGGTCAATCTGGTTCCGACTATACCGCCCTTCAGGATTTATTGAACAGCCAGCCACCAACAACCATGTCACCATCAACCATACCAAGACCATGGTTAGTACATCAATCCCTCCGACATTGTCCCACCTCCATTATCTAGGTCCGAACACACGGCCAGATTCCACAGTCTCATGTCACCTACAGACAAACTAAATTGGAAACCACACGTCAGTGACAAATTCCAGTTTCCGTCTCCCACTTCCGCTGACTGTCCCCGGAGTTCCTAACCGAGCTCCCTCAGTGTTTACACAACATTCATACTTCCCAAGCTCACCTATGCCCCCACCTGGTCTTCCTCCAAATGCCACACAACGTAAACACCTGAATGAGTATGCAAGATTATTCTCTCCTACTCATATAAGAAGCGCTCAACACACTGACCCTCGACTCACTGACCATCACCACGACCTCATCTGCAAATTGGTAAGAAGCTTCTTCACCATCCTCGACGCCTCTACTACGACCTGAGATCCTTAGGCCCGAGAATTGCTGTTCGACACCACAACCGCATCCAGCCCATGCACGAACTGGTCGCTATAAATGAACAGCCCAGTCCATTAAAATTATCAACGTAATAAATCAGTATTCACCGCAAATACCTTGCACTGTCACTATGTTGAAATGAACTGTAGTTTGAGCTTTTCCCCATCTAGTTATTATATGTCTTATTTGTATCACTTATGTTACTTGTATATTATTTGTAATTTGTAACCCATTCCCCAAATATGTAACTGTATATTTTCAGCCTCTCTGCCAAGCTCTTTCAATAAACCGTTAATTATTATTATTATTATTATTATTATTATATATTATTATTATTATTATTACACAGCATCTGAAGGCACCAGTACACACCTGAAGGTACCGTATACAAATGAAGCTACCAGCACACACTGGGTACAGTATGCAAATGAAGTCTATACCACACCAGTACACCTGAAGGTACCAGCACACCTGAAGGATACCAGCACCAGCAGACATAGCCAGTAACCATAACACTGTAGACATAATCCTAAAAACAACTGCTCAGTACTCACGATGTTGAAGAGTGTGAAGACATATCAACCTCGTCCTCCCGTGGAAGGCGATGACGGTGGTCGAGCCACCGTCAGCTCCAGCCACTTTGAGGTCAGAGACGTTCAGGGCGGAAAGGACACCTCTGTTAGCCCTGATGACCCTGAAGTCAGAAACAACACAATAATTACGGGAATATCTTCACAAAACACAAGAAATAAACAAATGGAAAATAGAGTTAAAATAAAAATGAAGGTTAAATGATGTTAAAATAATAAAATGACAAACAATTAACAACTAAAAGTAACAATTAACAACTAAAGGTAACAATTAACAACTAAAGGTAACAATTAACAACTAAAGGTAACAATTAACAACTAAAGGAAACAATTAACAACTAAAGGTAACAATTAACAACTAAAGGTTAAATAAAATTAACAACTAAGGACAATTAACACTAAAGTAACAATTAAAGGAACAATTAACAAGGAATATAAAGTCAACAACTAAAGGTAACAATTAACAACTAAAAGTAACAATTAACAACTAAAGGAAACAATAACAACTAAAAGTAACAATTAACAACTAAAGGAACAATTAAACAAAGTAACATAACAGGAACAATTAACAACTAAAGGAAACATAACAACTAAAAATAATTAACAACTAAAGGAAACAATTAACAACTAAAGTAACAATTAACAACTAAAAAACAATTAACAACTAAAGGAAACAATTAACAACTAAAAGTAACAAAATAACTAAAGGTAACAATTAACAAAGGAAAAAATAACTAAAAGTAACAATTAACAACTAAAGAAACAATTAACTAAAGGAAACAATTAACAACTAAAGGAAACAATTAACAACTAAAGGTAACAATTAACAATAAGATGAACAATTAACAACTAAAGGTAACATTAAAACTAAAGGTAATAATTAATAACTGAACAATAACAACAAAGGTAACAATTAACAACTAAAGGTAACAATTAACAACTAAAAATAATTAACAACTAAAGGTACAATTAACAACTAAGAAACAATTAACAACTAAAGGAAACAATTAACAACTAAAGAAATATAACAACTAAAAGTAACAATTAATAACTAAAGGAAACAATTAAACTAAAATAACAATAACAACAAAGGACAATAACAACTAAAGGAAACATTACAACTAAAGGAAACAATTAACAACTAAAAGTAATAATTAACAACTAGCAAACAATTAACAACTAAAGGCAATAAACAACTAGAGTCAATTAACAACTAAAGGTAATATAACAATAAAGGTAACAATTAACAACTAAAGGTAAAAATTAACAACTAAAGGTAACAATTAACAACTAGAAACAACCAATAAATAATAACTAAAGGAAATAATTAAGATAATTAACAACTAAATAAATTAACAACTAAAAGTAAAAATTAACAACTAAAGGTAACAATTAACAACTAAAGGTAACAATTAACAACTAAAGGTAAAATTAACAACTAAAGGTAACAATTAACAACTAAAATAATTAACAACTAAGGTAAAAATTAACAACTAAAGGTAACAATTAACAACTAAAGGTAACAATTAACAACTAAAGGAAACAATTAACAACTAAAGGTAACAATTAACAACTAAAGGTAACAATTAACAACTAAAGGTAACAATTAACAACTAAAAAATTAACAACTAAGGTAACAATAACAACTAAAGGTAACAATTAACAACTAAAAACAATTAACAACTAAAGGAAACATAACAACTATTAACAACTAAAGTAATTAACAGAAGGAAAAATTAACAACTAAGGTAACAATTAACAACTAAAGGAAACAATTAACAACTAAAAGTAACAATTAACAACTAAAGGTAACAATTAACAACTAAAAGTAACAATTAACAACTAAAGGTAACAATTAACAACTAAAGGTAACAATTAACAACTAAAGGTTACAATTAACAACTAAAGGTAACAATTAACAACTAAAGGTAACAATTAACAACTAAATGTAACAATTAACAACTAAATAACAATTAACAACTAAAGGAAACAATTAACAACTAAAGGTAACAATTAACAACTAAAGGAAACAATTAACAACTAAAGGTAACAATTAACAACTAAAAGTAACAATTAACAACTAAAGGTAACAATTAACAACTAAAGAACAATTAACAACTAAAGGTAATAATTAACAACTAAAGGAAACAATTAACAACTAAAGGTAACAATTAACAATCAAAGGCAATTAACAACTAAAGGTAACAATTAACAACTAAAGGTAACTAATAACAAGGAAACAATTAACAACTAAAGGTAACAATAACAACTAAAGGTAACAATTAACAACTAAAGGTAACAATTAACAACTAAAGGTAACTAACAACTAAAGGCAATTAACAACTAAAGGTAACAATTAACAACTAAAGGTAAAAATTAACAACTAAAGGTAACAATTAACAACTAAAGGTAACAATTAACAACTAAAAAGTAATTAACAACTAAAGGTAACAATAACAACTAAAGGTAAAAATTAACAACTAAAAACAATACAACTAAAGGTTACAATAACCAAAGGTACAATTAACAACTAAAGGTTACAATTAACAACTAGTTACAATTAACAACTAAAGGTAACAATTAACAACTAAAGGTAACAATTAACAACTAAAAGTAACAATTAACAACTAAAGGTAACAATTAACAACTAAAGGTAACAATTAACAACTAAAGGTAACAATTAACAACTAAAGGTAACAATTAACAACTAAAGGTAACAATTAACAACTAAAGGTAACAATTAACAACTAAAGGAAACAATTAACAACTAAAGGAAACAATTAACAACTAAAGGTAACAATTAACAACTAAAGGTAACAATTAACAACAAAAGGAAACAATTAACAACTAAAAGGTAACAATTAACAACTAAAGGTAACAATTAACAACTAAAGGAAACAATTAACAACTAAAGGTAACAATTAACAACTAAAGGAAACAATTAACAACTAAAAGTAACAATTAACAACTAAAGGAAACAATTAACAACTAAAGGAAACAATTAACAACTAAAGGTACACAACCAAAGGTAACAATTAACAACTAAAGGAAACAATTAACAACTAAAAAGTAACAATTAACAACTAAAGGTAACAATTAACAACTAAAGGTAACAATTAACAACTAAAGGTAACAATTAACAACTAAAGGTAACACATTAACAACTAAAGGTAACAATTAACAACTAAAGGTAACAATTAACAACTAAAGTAACAATTAACAACTAAAGGTAACAATTAACAACTAAAGGAAACAATTCACAAACTATACTAAATATAATTTTTTATTATTATTATTGAAATCATTAAGGTTAAAATGGCTCCACTATCCAAACATTGAGGTGACGGGCGTTAAGTGAGAGGTAGACGGGTGAGAGGTAGACGGGTGAGAGGTAGACGGGTGAGGGGTACAGGTGAGGAGAAGACTTACCTGCCGCTACTTGAGTCTCCCATAGGTCAGGTGAGTAGCCGTTCCACTCATCGCCTTCAAAGGGGTCCACAACGCTAGAGTGAGCTGGTGGGGAGAACGATAGTTAACACACATACAGTTAGTTCTGACTGTTATAGATTACCACTAGTTACACAAACATACGCACATACAGTACACACACACACACACACACACGCAATGGTCACCATTTTCAACTATATGAACAAAAATCTATGACAACTTTTCTAATGATGAAATTATTATGAGTTATAACCTTTAATAACCCTTCAGTAACTGGTAATACCAAACAATTATTAATAAAACAATAAATTAGTTGATAAAAAGTAAAATATTTAGTGTCCGCTCTGAGATGAATAAAAGGAACACAAGAATGGAGGAAACTGCAGCGGGCCTATTGACCCATACCGACAGTACCATTTACACCCAACCCCTATTGCTCATATATAAGCATCCAACCTGTGTTTGAAGCTATTCAGCGTATTCGAGTTAATGATGATATTTGCAACTTGTTCCATTCATCCACGACTCTGTTTCCAAACCAGTGTTTACCTATTTCACGCCTAAATCTAAATTTGTCTAATTCAAAACCATTGTTACGAGTTCGCTCCTGGTTGGATAGTTTGAGTACCTTTGTAATGTCCCCTTTGTTTAGCCCTGACTTCCACTTATACACCTCTATCAGGTCGCCCCTCGCTCTACGTCTCCCGAGGGAGTAAATTATGATGCTTTAACCTGTCTCTATACTCAAGGTTCCTAATGCCCGGGATTATCTTGTCATTCTCCTCTGAATTCTTTCTAGGATTCTATATCCATTCTGTAATACGGTGACCGAATTGAACTGCGTAATCCAGGTGAGGTCTCACAAGCGCAAGATATAGTTTTAGGATGACTTCTCCAGTCTTGTAACTAACACCTTTGTATGAACCCAAGTACTTTATTAGCCTTGTTACGAGCAAATACACATTGTTTACTTGGCTTAAGATTCCTACTTATCATTACCCTAATCTTCTCGCAGTCGGATTTCTATAACATTGTTCTTCATCCGGTATCTGGTTTCCTGTTTACATCTCGTATACTGAGTACTTTTACATTTGTCCACATTGAATTTCATCTGCCATTTTTCAGACCATCGAAAATTTGTTTAGATCTTCCTGTAGTTTTGCGGAGTCCTCGTCAGATTTAATAACACGTCCTATTTTAGTGTCATCAAAATTTACTTATGTTGTTGTCTACGCCGATATCTATGTCGTTTATGTATATAATAAATAATAATGGTCCAAGTACTGAGCCTTGGGGAACTCCACTAGTGACGTTGCTTCGATGGGATTTAGTGCCGTTAATGCTCACTGCTGTTTCGTCTTGTAACCACGCCCTAATCCACTTTAAAATATCACCTTTAATGCCATGAGCTCCACTTCTCTTATGAGTCTTTCGTGGGGACTCTGTCGAAGGCTTTGCTAAAGTCGAGCTATACCACATCATATTGTGCCCCTCTCGTCCACTGATTCGAAAACTGATGAAAAGAATGCTAATAGATTAGTTTGATGTGAACAATATGGACTATCATATGGCTGGGATAAGTAGTGAGGATGATAGACTTATTTACATGGTTGGATATGGTCACTGATTGCTCAATAGGATTGTTTGGACAATAGTTAGCTTTGTGTGATAGGTTGTGAATGAACGATGCTGGTGACTCCATGTGGCCGGAAGTTCAATGACGGCGAGACAATGGTGACGAGGTGTGAGAGGTGTGGAGGCGAGTCTTGTATACATTGTGCTGGGACACCCTCCTCCTCTTCCTCCTACAGCTCCTCATTCTCCCTCCAGCTCCTCCTCATCCTCTTCTTCCTTCCCCTCTCCCTCTTCTTGCTTCTCCTCTCCCTCTTCTTGCTTCCTCTCTCTCCTCTTGCTTCTTCCTCCACCTCACACTTGCCTGATACATGTCGACGATAACTATATGGGGTTGGATGGGTGGTACACACTTAGTGACACACACATGGTGTCGGTCACTCAGGTCAATTATCCCGTCTCACTAAACCATTTCATCCTCTTGTCTTTGTTTATTAATGACATAATTTAGTTCATACCTTAAATGTGTACAGATCCATGCAGGACTAATTAGGGGACGGATGAAACTGACGACCGTGTGCCATGTTATAACTGATATTGTACCGTGTGCCATGTTATAACTGATGTACCGTGTGCCATGTTGCATATTTCAGTGTGTACCGTGTGCCATGTTATAACTGATGTGTACCGTGTACCATGTTATAACGGTGTACCGTGTGCCATGTTATAACTGATGTGTACCGTGTACCATGTTATAACTGATGTGTACCGTGTACCATGTTATAACTGATGTGTGCCGTGTGCCATGTTATAACTGATGTGTACCGTGTGCCATGTTATAACTGATGTGTACCGTGTGCCATGTTATAACTGATGTGTACCGTGTGCCATGTTTATAACTGATGTGTGCAAAACGCTGCATGTTATAACTAAGTGTGTACCGTGTGCCATGTTACCAACTGATGTGTACCGTGTGCCATGTTATAACTGATGTGTACCGTGTGCCATGTTATAACTGATGTGTACCGTGTACCGTATTATAATGATGTGTACCGTGTGCATGTTGTAACTGATGTGCGTGTGCCATGTTATAACTGATGTGTGCCGTGTGCCGTATTTATAGCTGATGTGTACCGTGTACCATGTTATAACTGATGTGTACAAATGTGCCATGTTATAACTGATGTGTTGCCGTATGCTGCATGTTATAACAGTGTGTACCGTGTGCCATGTTATTAACTTTGATGCGTACCGTGTACCATGTTATAACTGATGTGTACCGTATACCATGTTATAACTGATGTACCGTGTACCATGTATAACTGATGTGTACCGTGTACTGCCATGTTATAACTGAAGTATGCCGTGTGCCATGTTATAACTGATGAGTCCGTGTACCATGTTATAACAATGTGTACCGTGTACCATGTTATAACTGATGTGTGCCGTGTGCCATGTTATAACTGATGTGCCGTGTACCGTATAACTGATGTGTGCCGTGTGCCATGTTATAACTGATGTGTGCCGTGTGCCATGTTGCGCCAACTGATGTGTGCCGTGTGCCGTATTGTAACTGATGTGTACCGTGTGCCATGTTATAACTGATGTGTACCGTGTATAAATATTTATAACTGATGTGTACCGTGTGCCATGTTATAACTGATGTGCACCGTGTACCGTATTATAACTGACATTGCTGCACTGTGTACCATCTTATAACTGATGTGTACCGTGTGCCATGTTATAACTGATGTGTACCGTGTACAATGTTATAACTGATGATGTGCACCGTGTGCCATGTTGTTATAACTGATATTGTGCCGTGTGCCATGTTGGCTGATGTGTGCCGTGTGCCATGTTATAACTGATGTGTACCGTGTGCCATGTTATAACTGATGTGTACCGTGTGCCATGTTATAACTGATGTGTACCGTGTCATGTTATAACTGATGTGTACCGTGTACCATGTTATAACTGATGTGTACCGTGTGCCATGTTATAACTGATGTGTGCCGTGTACCATGTTATAACTGATGTGTACCGTGTACCATGTGTTATAACTGATGTGTACCGTGTGCCATGTTATAACTGATGTGTGCCGTGTGCCATGTTATAACTGATGTGTACCGTGTGCCGTATTTATAACTGATGTGCATGCCGTGTACCATGTTGTAACTGATGTACCGTGTGCCATGTTATAACTGATGTGTACCGTGTGCCGTATAACTGATGTGTACCGTGTGCCATGTTATAACTGATGTGTGCCGTGCCATGTTATAACTGATGTGCACCGTGTGCCATGTTATAACTGATGTGTACCGTGTGCCATGTTATAACTGATGTGTACCGTGTGCCATGTTATAACTGATGTGTGCCGTGTGCCATGTTGTAACTGATGTGTGCCGTGTGCCATGTTATAACTGATGTGTACCGTGTGCCATGTTATAACGGCGTGTACCGTGTGCCATGTTATAGCTTCAGTGTGTACCGTGTGCCGCCGCCCGCCAACTGATGTGTGCCGTGTACCCATGTTATAACTGATGTGCCGTGTGCCATGTTGTAACTGATGTGTGCCGTGTGCATGTTATAACTGATGTGTGCCGTGTGCCATGTTATAGCTTCAGTGTGTACCGTGTGCCGTATTATAACTGATGTGTACCGTGTGCCGTATTTATAACTGATGTGTACCGTGTGCCATGTTATAACTGATGTGTGTACCGTGTACCATGTTATAACTGATGTGTACTGTGTACCGTAATATAACTGATGTGTACCGTGTACCATGTTATAACTGATGTGTACCGTGTGCCATGTTATAACCTGATGTGTACCGTGTACCATGTTATAAATGATGTGTACCGTGTGCATATTTATAACCGGATGTACTGTGTGCCATGTTATAACTGACGTGTGTGCTGCCGTGTACCATGTTACCGCTGATGTGTACCGTGTACCGTATAACTGCCTGATGTGTACCGTGTACCATGTTATAACTGATGTGTACCGTGCGCCATGTTATAACTGATGTGTGCCGTGTGCCGTACTGGCGATGTGTACCGTGTGCCATGTTATAACTGATGTTATTGCCGTGTGCCATGTTATAGTAACTGATGTGTGCCGTACCATGTTATAATGATGTGTACCGTGTGCCATGTTGTAACTGATGTGTACCGTGTGCCGTATTATAACTGATGTGTACCGTGTGCCGTATTTATAACTGATGTGTACCGTGTGCCATGTTATAACTGATGCGTACCGTGTGCCGTATTATAACTGATGTGCACCGTGTACCATGTTATAACTGATGTGTACCGTGTGCCATGTTTACCAACTGATGTGTACCGTGTGCCATGTTATAACTGATGTGTACCGTGTACCATGTTATAACTGATGTGTACCGTGTGCCATGTTATAACTGATGTGCACCGTGTGCCATGTGCCAACTGATGTGTGCCGTGTGCCATGTTATAACTGATGTGTACCGTGTGCCA